ATGCATTTTCAATTAAGAACAGGTACACACACACACACACACACACAGCTACCAGGTGAGTGCTTAATGCATATTGATTATTATGCAAATATCACAGCGAACCATTCATTTCAGTCCGCCAAAGTGTTAAGTCATAAAAAATTATCGTACATATGTATATGTATGTATTTATGTATGTTGAATCTTTCAGCATTGAAATTAAATCAAGTATTTAATACTTAAATATTTATTTAGTTTTTAATTCGAATATTCGGTGCACAATATTTGATTGATTTATTGATTATATTATTTATTTATTTATTTAGTATGTATGCCCCTTCGTATTTTTTTTTTAAATTTAATTTTGATTATATATTTATATATACTATAAAATCCTGAATTAATTTTTTATTTATTTTGAATTTTTTTATAGTTTTATTTATTAATTTATTTATTTATTTTTTTTTTTTTTAAATAGATTTTTATATAAACATTTTATATAATATATTTTCTTTATTTGATGGATTTTATTTTAATTAGTATTTATATTATTATTATTTAAATATATATATTTTTTATAATATATATTATTTTTATTTGCAAATATATTCCCATTTATGTTCACATTAAATTTTATAGAAATTAAATTTAGATATGCCTTTGCTTCAAATAGAATCTAATTTTTCGCTTCCATAATTTAGATAAACGATGTTTGACCTTGCGAATTTTCATCAGTTTTTCTTTGTTTATGCATTTCGCCTGCTCTTTAGACACTGATTTTCGCAAACGGCGAATAATAAATTATGTTGCGAACAGCGAACAAAACAAACTCATTTATAATGCCGCAAATTATTTGTCACTATTTCTGTGCACTTGCTATGAGAGCAGGGGAATTCGATTGATGGGGTATATTAGTTGTGTGGGTGTTTATGTAACAGGCAGAGGAAAAGCTCTCCAAGATCTTACATAGATTTGTTATTCTCTTGTTCGGGCGACTGAATGTGATCTAGCTATATTTATATAGCTTTAGTTGAGTCGAGGCTGCCCCAGTAGAACCTGAACTTTAGATGGATTTATGTAAATATATCGATCTTATTTTTGTCCCAATTAAAAAGCTTTTTAATTTCCAATCAACACAATTTTCGTAGCTTTGTTTTCTAGAATTATTTTGTATACAAATATTATTCAGATTGTAAAATAAAATCCATAAAATCCTTAAAAAACTTTCTCAGCTTTCTTTGAAGTTTATTTATAATCCTAAAAGGGAATTTATTGGGATCGTCGTATAAAGTGAAGAGTAGAATTATCACACTCAAGCTTATAGAAGTTTACTACGCGGTATCTGCTAGTCGATCACAGTCGATTATATGACTTTCACTTGTTGTTTTTTCGTTTGGCACAACTTTTTTCGTTGTTTATTGGGCTGAAACGCGTGCCACACACACACGACACACACACACACACGCGCATACATTTGAGCTGTGTTAGCCATAATTAATTTGGCCACAAAGACATCCACAGCCAACACAACTACCGTGTGGCCCGCCCCCAAACAATGGCAAACAAATTGATTAATGACAGCGTATTAAACAATAATCGAGATAGGCCGCCGACGCCGACGCCGACGTTGACGTCGCTCCCGCAACGCACCTTGGAGGGGCAAAGGCGAGGAGGGCAGAAAAAAAAATTAATATGATTCGCCCACGCGCAAATTTTTTTTGTGTTTGCGCTTCGAGAAAAGGTTTTTATCAGCTGGCCAAAAATTTGTTGTTATTGTTATAGTTGTTGTTGTTGTTGTTGTTGTTGTAGTTCGCTCAAAACAATTCATTTAAATAATAGCTGGGCCACTTGGCCCGCCCCGTTAAAGGGAAGCGAATCATTTTTCATATGAAACGCAAATTAATAACGTGTAATTAATATTTCGGTTTAACGGTATTATAATATGTGCGTGTACCTGTATCTATATCAATACATATATATGTATGTATGTATGTGTGTGTATATGTGTAGATATTTGCGAAACAGTGAAGCTTTGATAAAGCAGAATTGTTATTCAGATGTGGGAATATAGAATTAGAGTTGGAAATGTTCGTTTAAGCTGCACTAGTTCCAGTGTGAACTGCTTATATTGTTCAGTTAAGGAACTAGTTCAGTTAGCTAAGTACTTTGTACAAGTGCTAGGCAGACTTTTGTGTGAGTTGATTCTAAGAAACAGCTTAAGATCTTGTTTAGGGTTATTTTAATATATAGTACAATAATTACTTATATAAACGCAAAATAACTTAAAATAAAATATTTAGAAAAATTAAAAAAAAAAATTAAAAAATAAATGTAACTCTACAAAAATAAATAAAAATAAAAAAAAGTATAACACTAATTTCATAATAATTCAACAAATTTTTAATAATAAAAAAAAAGTAATATATTTTAATATATTAATCTAATATATAAAATATATACATATGTAAATAATTAAATTATAAAAAGCAATTATGTATATTTACTTGTGTTTATTTGCTAAAGTAAATTTTATAACAAATTTTACAATAAATTATTAATGAAAAAATATTTATCATATATATTTTGGTTTGTTTTAATATTTAATTATATAATAATTAAAATACATTAACTGCACTGAACTATTTTCATTTCTATGGATTTTAATTAAACATTTTATTTATTTCAATTTTTTATGTAAAAAAAATATTTGGTATATATCTTTATATTTTAAATTTATTCATATTTATTTATTTCTTAAAGCTATTGACAAATATAAATATAAATACTTTAATTAATGCAATTATTATTATTGATAATTTATATTATTATTATTTTTATCTTTTCTATTAAAAAAAAATTCACTCAGTTTGCTTTTATAACTCTTACAATCTAATTTCTTAACTTAAGCTGAAATGAATTATTTTTTATTTCATTTTATTTTTTTCAAATATTACAGTTAATTAAGAACTTGAGAATATTTGCAATTATTAGCAAATCCTTTATTATCCAACCGCTTGCTTAAATCACACACTTTCAGCGCCTCTCAAACTGTAATTAGTGCCACTTGAGGCTTAAGAAGCGCTCGAGCTGAAAGAGTTGCAATTGCAGCAAAAGCATCTTTAATTTCAGGCATATTTCAGGCATAATTCATATGTATATGGTTACATATGTGTATGTGTGTGTGTGTGTGTGTACTCCCTGAAGGCAAACTTTATTTATGCAGACGCACACACACACACACACACAATGCAACCACCCCCAACAGGCTGCTGCAAGCAACCCCAAGGCATTTTCCCTCACACCTCTGCCACCTATACCTCTCCCTCTCCCTCTCCCTCTCCCTCTCCCACTCCCTCTCCCTCTCCCACTCCCTCTCCCTCTGCCACTCCATACACATGCACTTCACGGCTTGCACTCTCTCAATTATGACTTAATTCATATCTAATGGATATTTTCTGTGAAAATTTCGTGATTAATCGCTGCCTGGAGGCCAAGTCAGGAGGACATCTCATTTGGGGGTTGCTCGCAGCAGCAGAAGGAGTCTGCGACGACAACGGCAACGGCGACGCCGACTGCGACGGTGACTGCAGTTGTTCACACATGTTCACAAAAAAAACATGAGAAAAATGAAAACTGTGTTTGGGGCAACTGTCGAACAATGGCGCACCACTCGAACCACTCGAACCACCCGCACCACCTTCTGCCGTAACTCAGCTCTGAAACTTTTCAAGTTCTTTTAACATTTTCAGAAATTTTTTGCCGGTATAACGTTGCTCCCACACCGCCCTCAATTGTGGAGGCGTGGCAGGCGACATATGCAACGGGAAGTTCCGTGTCGCTAAAACTGATGACGTCGCATATGACTTTAATGCCTTAAAAAAAAGAAAAACAACAACAACAAACTGCATTTGCACGCGGCTTTTCTTATCTATGGCACAGTAGCGCCATCTGTGTGTGTTTAGCGGAACTAGCGTGCTGAGGAAAAACTGGCTATGAATGCATTTTTATCTAAGCGAGCAGCGAGAGAGAGCGAACTTACGAGAGAGCGAACGTTATTTGAGTGATTTCGAATGCCGGCAAAACAGAGCACAAATAAGTTGTTTTACGCTCTCTCGTTCTCTCACCCTTTCTCTCACTGCCACGCGCTCTCCCACTCAACACGCGGCTCTCTGTTTATCTTTGGCAATGCATTCTGTTTGCCTTGCTTCCCGTTGTTGCTTTTGTTGTTGTTGACCGCTCCCAAAAAATCTGATTTGCATATTTTGTGTGCACTTCAAGCCGCATTCAATTTCTATTGATATTTGCTGATAAGCTGATAAGAATTTAGAGTTATTAACCTATTGGAATTTAAAGGGGAATTCTTTGTGCTAAGCGGGTGCCAATTGGAAACTGGGTTATTGAGTGAAATAGAGGCGGAAATGATAAGAATTTTAAATACGACGGCACAAAATAAATATAAAAATTAAGAATATGTTCAAAATATGATTTATATTAAATAATACAAAATATGTACTAATTCAGTAAATAAAATTAATTTACCAATTATTCGAAACCGTTCCAATTAGACCAATTTGCGTGCCTGACAACTTCATTGAATCAGCAAATTATTTGTCTCACCTGGCGGCTTAGCACACCTGTATGTAGTCAAATTGGACAGGCACATACACACACACACACACACCACATTGACACCCACAAATGTTGTCCAAAAAAATAAAATAAAATCAAGTCGAAGCAGCTCAGTGTTTAGCCAAGTTTCAAACCCTGCACACCATACGTTATCTGACTCAATGAGAATCCAATTTGAGTCCAACTCACGCGCTCTCTCACTCGCTGCTTATCAGCTGCTCTCAGATAATTTGTGCACTATCCAATTCGCTGGCTGTGCTTCGTGTGCCTCGTATTTCGTGGCTTCGTGCGCTCATCGCCCGACGAAGAGCGAGAGCGAGCGTGTGAGCGTGGTGGGCTGCTGGCAGATAATTTTAGTTCATAAACAAGTTTCGTTGCGTGCGATGCCCGTCGCGCTCTCAGATACTTTTTGCCAGTTGAGCCGAGTACGTGAACGTGTCTGGACGTTGTTTTTATGGGCAATCGTTGTGGAGAGCTAGCGAAATTGAAACCAAAACCAAAACCGAAACCGAAACACAAAACCGTTACCGAAATCACAACCAAAAACAAAAAACTCAAAACTGCAACCGTTAGCCGTTAACTAATACAGTTTGCATTTAATAGTTGTGCGTTTAGTGAGTGCAACGCGCGCGTGCAAAAATTCTGCTCCAGTTCCCCCTCCCCCTCGCACACACACACACACACACACACACGTACGCTCAGGCCTCTCTGCCCGCGGCAGCCGCTGCTGTGCCTAGTGATGAGCGTTAACCCGTTTGCTCTGCGGCGTGCGTGCGTCTTGTTATTGTTGTTCTTTTTTTAGGCAATTGCCGAAAATAACCGTTTTGCCATTCATCAGCACAAAACAAAAACAAAACCAAAAACAAAATCGAGCAAATTTTCGCGTGTTACTTTTGTGCGACGTTTCTTATTTTATTGCAAAGTGCTTTGCCGCAATTTTCCAAGCGTAAGTTTTAATTAAGTTAGCTTTAAGCTTTATTGATGTTCAGCTAGAATTCTAGCTTAATGTTTTTTTTTTTTTTTGATTTAGCTAGAAATTTATTTGGCTATTTTCGGCTGTCAGTGAGCTGCTTGCATGTAATTTATATCTTGAACTTTCTTGTCCAGCCATCGATAAGGTTTCATTCTTCTTCCTGCTCCTCTTTCTTTTTGTTTTGGTGAAAATTCCACAATCATTAATTATGTCATTCGTCCCTAAAGACAAAAAACGGGTTTGAGTTTCGTTAGAAGATCTTAAAGCTCGTGCAATTCCAGGAACTTTTCAGTTAGGTGTTTGTTCGCTCTGCGTGTTTGTTCTTGGCACTCAGATGTGAATCTTTATGAATGAAGCTCGATCGGGGGCTCGGACCTGGGCTTGGGCTGCTGTGAGGCGTGGACACAGATTACATGTGTTTGCCTCTGTGTGTTGGCTTCGTCTTTATGTGGAAATGCTTGACACTTCTGCAGAACAGTTACCATTTCGACTTGACTTGTTCTGTTGACTGCTGCTGCTGCTGCTGATGCTGATGTGTGTGTGTGTGTGTGTGTGCTGGGCGTGTTTCTCTTTCAGTTTGTGCCTAGAACCGTTGCTTAATGGCCCAAACGTGAGCTGGCATAAAGTTGGCCTAGGCCAGAAGTTGTGTAACAATTGCAATGGGGAAGCCGAAAATTCCGGTACTTTTGACTAAAGTGAAGAAGTCGACGATGGGCTTTAACAGATCTTTAATTAGTATTACAAATTTTAAACTTAATTTATAAATGTATAAAAACAACAACAATTAAATTTGTATATACGATATAAATATATAAAATATTTCATATAAATATATATTTAAATTAATTTATTAAATATTTAAATAGATTTGATTGACAGATAAAATTTAAATATTTTTAAATTAATTTATATATTAAATTTTATTTATATTTTATTTTATTTATATTATATATAAATAGATTTTATCTTAAATATCTATTTATATCATTTTTGTATAATTTTCTAACAATTAAATATTTTTGATTTTAATAAAATTTAGAGCTAAGCAAAACAAAGTTCTTTTATTTAAATTTTAATTTAATTAGCATTAAAATTTCCTTTTATTTCATACACATTCTAATCAAACGGCTTAACTTCATATTCAGTTATCGATAACTCCGTTAACTACTCAAAGATAGTTATCGCAATGCATTTTTACTCCTTTTTGGCATTTGCTCTGATTCGATTCCAATTGGATTTAAGCTCCTGCGCTTCGCTAGCCTCGCCGCTGTTTGCTCATTTATTAGCCCAAATTGAGCGCACATTTGAGCATTACACAACACTGGGCAGCGCTTGCCTCACTTGCCACACACGATGAACTTTTGTAATCGCATTAGCCAATCCAGCCAGTTCGCACTTTTCCCCGCCGTATGAAAAATCGTATTGGAAAATGGAAATTGATGTTTCGAGCGAGACGCGGGCCAAACAAACGCGAGCTAATTATGCGCTGCAGCTGTGGATCACAAATGCTGTGCTCATGAAAATAGTAGCATTATTTGTTTATTTGTTGTTGCCCTCACCTTCCCTCTCTCTCTCACATTCTGTGTGGGTGTTTCATGCCACTTGAGCTTGTATTGCATAAGCGAGACACAAACAAATTTTCCGGCATGCCACATGCTTTTTTTTTTCTCTTCTTTAACCTTGATTAAGTTGACGCTCTAATGATGCTGCTAATGCTGCTGATAATGTTCTCGCTGATTACAATGATGATGATGATGTTGATGACGATGATGATGCTGCTGCTGTTGATGCTGCTGTCGAGTGAGGGGCGGGGGGACAGCTATAGCATCATTAGCCGCCGCTCGCACACATTTCTAAGGCCGGTGCGCGGCGCTCTCTCAGCGTCTCGTATTTTTAATTGCCGCCCAGCACTTAGCTAATGTAATTTATATGACTTCTTATGCTCTAAAAGCTTTAAAGGTAGCCAAAAAAGAAGTGAAATAAAAACAACAAAAAATAGAAATGAAAAACAACAACAAGCAGCAGCAGCAGGAGCAGCAAAGTGCAGCAGCAGCAGCAGCCGGCGAGAGGTGGAAAAAAACTTTTGTTTATATTTACCTAACATTGTACTTGAAAGATATTTTCGTTATTTTTTTTCTTGCGCCTCGGCGCCCCGCCCCCCCGTTTAGCCTGTTTACGGCTCTTTGTGTTTGTTTATCTAATGGCTAAAAAATATTTAAGCTGTAAAATTGTTACCGGGCTAAAAGCAGGAAAAAAGTTGAGGTTTTTTTTCTCCGTTGGTATTTACAGAAGTCATAAATACCTTTCCAGACTGGAGAGCAAGAAGAAGAAGAAGAATAGGAAGCAGAAGCAGCAGCAGAGCAACAACAAAAAAATTGTAAAGGTTTAGATTTTGGCCAGAAATTGAGACTCGGACTCGACCTGGCCGCAGCGTCAGCCTCGTCTCGTCTCGTCTTGCCTCGTGATAAACTCGCACATAAAACTTTGTATAAAACACAATTTTCCTCTCGCTATATTTGAAATTTATGTAAATGTTTTAGCTGCCTCAGCCTCAGCCTCAGTCGCAGCCTCAGCCTCTGCTTCTGCCTCTGTCTCAGCCTCTGCATCTCTTGCTTATCTTGACTGCTTTTCCTGTTGGTAATTAAAAAGTTTTTGCTGCTCGTCTGCTCAGATTAGCTAATGCAGGTTGATGTATATACACATAAATATGTATATATGTATGTGTGTGTGTGTTTGGCCTTGAAATTGTTATATAAATCTTGTTAGTATTTAGTTTTTTTGGGCCGTTTGAATGGCACGGAGGCCAGTGATAAGCCAGAGTATGGCAAACATTTTGTAGAGCTGGGAGCTGGAAGTGGGCCTTGAGTAGCGGCACCTTTGTTTTGATATTAGGTAATGTTTTAATTAGATAATTTAGTTGGAAGTGTGGGTGGCAGAGAGCGAGAGAAAGAAGAAGCAGTGAAGAGTGGGAAGTATGAGAAGAGTAGAAAATGTTTGAAGAGAAAAGAAGGAAGGTAAAGAGAATGGAGATACAACACAAGAGAAGAGAAATGACAGTAAACTGTAGAAAGAAGAGACAAGATTGAATATAGAACATATATATAGTGGGAGAGAATGAGAAAAGAAGAGAAGACAGAATGAGAAGAAATGAACAAATGGAATGAGAAGAAGAGAGAAGAAAAAGGTGAATTTATTAAAGCAAAGGATAGAGAAGAGAGTAACAAAAGGAGAAACGATTGAGAAGAACCAAAGGGAGAATAGGATAGGAGAATAAGGAAGATAATTGACAGTGGAATGAAGTAAGCGGTAGGAGGAATAAAAAAGAGAAATGAAAAGTAATGAAAATAGTAGAGAAGAGAGTAACATGAGATGAAAGGAGGAAGAAAAAAAAAAAATACGGGAGAATCGAGTACTGAGAAAAAAGAGAACAAAGATGCACTTTTAGGGAGTAGACTGAAGAATTGAGAGTAGTAAAAAAGGAGAAATGAAAAAATAAAGAAAAGTGTAGAGAAGAGAGTAAAAAGAGAAGAGGAGTGTAGAAAGCAGAAAAGTGTTAGAAGAGCAAAGATGATAGAAAGAGTTGCAAATATTTAACCCGGCAGAATGAGAAGGAAACTGAATCACAGCCAAAGCCCAGCATCCATTGCTCTGTAGTCAGAGAGTCAAATTCTTTCTCTAGCTCTTTCTCTAAAAAGAGGTGGCTTTTGCTTACATTTGTATATGTAGATATATATTTATATATATTTTTTGTAGATACATATATATTTCTTGTCATAGCTACGTTCTGTTTACTTTTTGGGCAAAATTTTAAATGATTTTCTATTTCTTGTTAAATTTCAAATATTCAACTTTTATTGAAGTTTAAAAATAAGAGTTAAGCAAACTAGATAAAAGACAAAATAAATACTATAAATTATAAATTATAAACATCTATCATTATATTATATACACTGACATATATCACTGCTCACATCCGCCTCATTCCACACATCTATTCCATTCATCAATCCCATGGCAAATCATGTAACTAATAGCATAGACAGCGCGCTGCTTAGCGAATGGTAACAAGTTGCTCGATGGCATCTATTTTGTGTTATTTTCTGCCTTTTTGTGTTCTGCCAGCTCGACTTGACGTAATTAGAATCGCGCTCAGCCCGCGCTCAGCGACGGCGACGGCGGCAGCTGGTGTTTAGCATAGAATTTGTCTATGCCCTCAATCCATATTTCGCAGCACTTCCAATTCTCGAGCTAACACATTCCAGAACCATATCATTTGCTCAATCAATTAGGCATTCCGATCTTGGACTTGGACTTGGACTTGGCTAATCAGATGTTTTCTGTGTGTGTGTGTGTGTGTGTGGCTGCTGCAATTAATAAAGGCCAGAAGCGAAGCTATTGAATTTCAGTCTAAAACAAAGACTTGACCTTGCCGCAGAACGCAGAACGCAGCTGAAACTGTGTTGGTAACAAAAGATCATTAGTTGGAGCGTCTAATAAAAACGTTTGATTGCCCATAATTATGGCCAAGTTGAAATGACAGAGGAGACGCCGCCGGGTCTCAAGTTTGTTTGGCCCTTGTGCCAAAATGAGTTTAAACGTCTTCAGACGACGCCGCCGCAGCGACAGAGGCGGGGAGTGAGGCGCGGAAAACTAGCTGGCAAACTTTCATGTGGCATGCATTTTATGGCTTAATTAGAGAGGGAGGGTGGGAGCATGAGAAAGACAGAAAAAGAGAGAGGAAGAGCTAGAGGAGAGCTACGTCTGTCTACAAAATAATCTAGATAAAGTGATGTAAGCAGCTGAATACACACACAGAGGCGCACACACACACACACACACACACACACTAGGGCTAATTGTGCCTTTGCTTGGCACAACGCGTCGTATACATAATATAATTAATAACCATAAATGTTAATTGCGCATACGCCACGTAAGACAACTATTTGCAAGTTTTACGCTCTGCTCGATGG